CAATTTTAGAAGCATCAATCTGCTTACCATACACGCCATATTGACATAAATCGCATCACACACTCGCATAAATTGACTTTGATATATTACATTCATGCATACACTTCAGTTGTCCTTTACTTACAATTTTCGATGTAAATTTCTGCTGATAAAACTCAAAACAATGTTGGCTTTCTTTTGAACATCAATGACTGAAATGTCGCTCGCGAGATCGTCTTTGCCAAGCATTTACAATTTATCCATAAATTTTTCACCCTCTTGAAAAAATTCACGGTTTGGACAGCAGCATTCATGTCAATATACGAATTTGTAAAAGATTTCCATAAATTCCATCTGATTGTAGTTTAGTTTCTATCATGCTTATAAAAATTACTATGAAACGATCAAACATTCAATTCAGACAGTGATCTTGACTATGTTAGTTCAGTTGGCTATCAGTCGAAATCCGTCAAACCAATCACAATAAAACAAAAATTCAAATGAACCAATTGTAAGATAGCAATTGGACTCCCTTATACGTCCGGCCACACCTATTATCAGTCGAGACCATTCCAGACTGTCCACTAATCTGGCCATTGACCAATAAAATAAGCGTTTTTGGCGTTCATAGACTCCTTTATCCGTCGAACCAGTCAAGACACCCCGCTTATCTGTCGGTTATTCCAGGTCAATTAAAATTCAACTGATCTGGTTACCAACGAGATATTCATTGGATTAGTCATTAGTTTTCAATAATAAATAAAGCTGGATTTTTATCACGAAGTAAATGCGATATTAAAGTAAGAATAATTAATGTTTTTAATTAATTTGAATAGGTAAATTTGGAATTTCAAACGTCAGTCGCGCGACGGATTTGACATACTCTAGATCCGCCCCTGATACCAAGCAAGTCAAGAATAGTTGTGCCTGTTACAGTGATGTCTAAAAATATTATAAATAAATATGAAAATATATACTTAGAAGCAACGTTGTCGTCATCTTATTCGCCTTTGGTGAAAATGACAGCACTAATTTTTATTAAGTATGTGTGATGACGACAACGAGTGTGTGAGTCTTTAAGTAACACCTGCATGAATTGTTTTAATACTGTCATTGAATTTTTCTAAAAATGGAAACTGCTTTGCATATCTACGTGTTATGCTTTAGGGAGTTATATGGAGGCGAAGTCATAGCTATACAAGCACGTTTAACTGTTGTCTCTAAATGTGTAAAACACTTTTGTTAACTCTTATAATGATTGTTTCTCAATATTTACGCTATTTCATGATGTCAAATAATGGAACTTAAATAGACATAAAATATAGGCCAAGCGTTTTTATATACAATCGTCTTCTTATTCATTGTTCTTCCTTTGTGTTTTTGATAAACATATAAAGCTAAAACTTAGACGTTTTTAAAACTATTCTGTTTCTTTAAACACAGTTGTTATCTATTTTTATGGCTTCAAAAATAGACCTAACTACTTAATGAAAAAATTACATGCATATATATAAATGAGCAATTATAAAATTCACGGTGACATGGAAGGCGATATTGAGTCCAAGCCAAGTATATGAAAGTACTAGAAATATTAAGTTGGCGAAATTTTTTGCGAGCATAGTAATTTTCAAAACACATTAATCTTGTTTTTCTTCACTTAAGTAACCATAATATAATAATTGAAATCTCTCTACTCCTCCAATTCATTTGTAAACGCTTTACACTTTTGAATGTTTGAATATGTAGCAAGATTATACTTTTGGTTTTTTAGTATGGTGGGAGGATAATATCATATATTAGTTGTCTTAATTGCTTCATATAAGATCACGTATTTTCGACTTGGTGTGTATGGTTTTAAGTTGTTTGAATGAATCCAAAAGAAGACTAGGGATCCAAGGATAGTGCAAAGCTTCTTCCTAGGATAGTGCAAAGCTAGTTCAAGCCTTTTAACTTCATGACACCGGTCACAAGCACTAGACTTGTAGCTTACGGCTATCTTCTTTTAAGTAGTCTTATCTCGTTCACATTGAGAAGGAGTAAAAAGTTTTTCCACGCTATACTATTCCTTGCTATATTTTGACTGCTTTGGACAAAGAAAAAAAGATCAATTAAGGTGTTTCGCAAATTTTTACGTGCATTAAGTTCGGTGAACGTAATATGTTCCTATGGTTTCGGTCATAGCAGGTGCATTTTAATTGATTTTCTAGCTAAATGTGCTTTTTTCGGTACAAAAACTTTTATTAAAAAACAAACGTGTTTAAAATACTGTTAAGTTTTCAAAATGCATGAATTTAGCATGAAATACAATTAGTTAAACAGACCGAGTTTTTAATGTACAAAAAAGTCAAACAAAGTTTTAATGGACTAAATGGAAATAAACACATTAGGAAAGTTAAATTATGTTAAAAGCAGCCAATGGCGTAATAATAATAATAATAATAGCTAATCTTTATTGATGATGCCAACATCACTAAAAAGTGGTTTACAGAGAGGTCCTCTAAAAGTAACTAAATATAATATAACTACTTAAAAAGACAAAGAAAAAGAATACAAATCGAAAAATATGAAGATAAAACTACATCATTTGAAAATTAACATGCTAAAAACGAAACTAATTAAAATAGTGCTTTCTTGATACCACGCTTAAATTGGCTTAAGGTGGGCACATCTCTTAGGGAAAGGGGTAAGGCATTCCAAACGTCGGCTGCAAAATTTATTGTTATCCAGTGCCCCCATCTTCTGTGTGCGAATGATTTGCGAATACTTCGCTTTGATCGTGTATTATAGTTATGATAGTTACTGTTAAAACAGCTGTAAAAAGTGTGCATAAAAAGGTTATTAACTACCTTAAACATGAAAATAGCACGATGCTCTGCTCTCCGCCTTTCTAGAGGTTTCCAATGGAGCTTTGAAAGTGCATCGCTCGTGGACGCATTACGTGGAAGATCTAAAATGATTCGCGTAGCCTTATTGTGAAGAATCTGTAGCTCTGTCAGACTGCAAGTTTTGGCAGAATGCAAGTTTTGCAGCTGCCAGATGTACAGTTTCATTGACGAAATTGCATAGCAGCATTAAATTTTCGAGGTTAATATTTGCTAAAGCTATAAATCAAACGTCATATTCAATCTAACACTGACATGAAAACCATTAAAAAGATGGCCGCAATACTGTTTCATGCAAGAAATAGAACATCTGTGTAAATAGTAAAAAAACAGAATGTTTAATTTATGACGATAAACAAATATCTTAGTTACCGAAACGTTTAATATAATGGTCTGTCAACACTTTTTCTGTTATAATTCGCAAGAGAAAGAGAGCACATAGTGTGAAAACGCCTTAAAGTGAAAGAGGTAGGATCATATAATTTTTCTTTTTTTGAACTGTAACTGTGCATATTTTTTGAACTGTAACTGTGATTTAACGCCCTGTTTTTCAATTGCTTTTTATCCGTGTTTATTTTCATGCGCGTGTTGATTCATATAAGAAATAAGAAATTTCTTTTGTGTTTGGAGAAAAGGTTTCGTTTCTTCATCATAGCATGCAAAAAATACCAATCAAAAAACAAACGCTCAAATGCAGTTTACCAAGCATCTTGGAAAAATAAAGCAAGTTTTTTAAATCCGAACATATAGCTTAAATTTAATTTCATATTTATAAAGCCTGACCCTAACACATCTTTCATCATTAAACTTTAAAATTTACTTGTGTTAAGCATCTTTTGTTTTACCTCTCGTTGAAGTAGCTTTGAACACCATTTTGCTACTAGTTTTGTTGCTAATTTGCATTTTCCCAACATTTACAGCCATGTGCCCTTTATAGACAAGAAAAAATGGCTACTGACATAACCGTAATATAGTTGAATATTTTTGATTTTTTTAGGAAAAGTTCGTTTGAAAATGCTCTTTTGGATTAGATTCTTCAATATATGGTGTTTATCTTCACTCATCTTTGTTAAAGGCAATGTACAACTTCAAGCTCGTATTGCGTCACTGCCCTCAAACTACATTTTGAGAAACATCAGCAACTCAGAGATTAACAAATGTCTGGAGAAATGTCTACAAGACTGCTCATGTTTATCATTTCAAATTTGTAATTCTACCTGCCAACTTCTTTCCACTACGATAACAGACGAACTAAGTAATGAAGATGAGAAACGACAATGTCAACATTTCACAATGAACGTAATAAACCAACATGAGGTATATCAGAAACACTAATGTCGTGCAAATTTTTATTGTATGAATTGTCCAAAATTTTAAAGCTTACAAGCCAGATTATGCTTAATTTTATGTGTCTGATAATCTTTTGATTTCAAAGCACGTCACTCTAAGAATGATAAGAGAAAATTTGACTCATATTCCTGAGAATACTAGTAAAAGGTGACGACTGGTAAAATGAACTATATGTATAATATTGGTGATTCCTATTTTGCAAACGTCACTTCCCGTGAAATTGGCGCGCTTTAATTGGGTCAGAAACATTTTCGCCTTCGTCTATTACTTTTCGTCTGTCTTTGATGAAAAAGTTTAGTGTGATGATATTTGTTCGTAAAGACTTTCTGCTCGAATAATAAGGGCTTAAAAATCAGAGCCAACTGCTAATTGAGCTGTTGTGTTAAAGTTACATTTTGCTTAAATCAATTATGATTAAATGTAACACTCACATAGGTTAATAATAGTTTCAATGCTGTTGCCGTCCTTGACGCGTATAAGAATATAAAAATCATAGATAAAATACCAAATAACGTTGACAGAAATACCAAATAACGTTGATAGATCAAAAAGAGAAGTATGGGACAAGTACTAAAACGCATGAGCACAAACATCCCACCCCAACACCTATAAGATCGTGCTGTATAGCTAAACCATAGTTCAAATAAAAAGTTCCATATTTTTTACTTTCTAATACAAATAACTATAAAATAAAAAGAAAACAATTATTATTTTTCTATTCTGTTTAATAAAAACAACTTTAAGTTTTTGTGTTGCTAAAATTGATTTTTTTTATTTTAAAAGTGTCGATCAAACTACTATCAACAAAGCTGTTTTGTTGTAATAGATTGCTGTCTTACTTCAACTTACTGCTATAACGATGGAAAATGTCGTAAATCAAAGTCACCCCTAACTAAGACACGTGCTTCATGTGAGTGTAAAGAGGGATTTGTTGGTGAACGTTGTGAAAAGAAAGCAAAGTCTTGTCAAAGTTATCGTGATCTTTCTGATGGCTGGTACAAAATATTTACAAATGATGACAACCAAGTGAAAGTTTACTGTCAGCTTGGACCAGTCAACATTTGGACATTGGTTATGTCTTATAGTTTAAAATTCAACGAACACTACAAAAATAAGGCATATTATAAAAACTCTCCTCGAAATGAAATGAATGAAACATGGGAAGATCACAGACTTTCTTTTAATGCAATGAAAAGTATAAAAGAAGATGGAAACATGCTATGGCGCATTACGTGTTCATATGGTGAAAAAGGCTGGAATGAAACAGATATTGTTATTGCAACCCATGAAAATGCACCAGTTTTTAAAAAAATTGTTGAACCTCCTGAGTGTTTAAATGTCCGTTCTATAGATATCAGAGGGTATAAGTGTAAAGATTGCCAAATTCCTTTTTGGCAAGATGACAAACAAATTTTTCACACAGACAATACCCAAGGTAAAGTTGAATGCAATCTGAAGGGTTTTGAATTATCTGTCTGTAAAGATCAAGCTGAAGGAGGAGAAGATAATTTTGGATTTTATCAGTGTTGTAACACAAAACATCGTTGTTCATCGTCAGATAAGGCCACAACACAATTATGGTTTGGTCAACGAATGAAATTTAATTGATAAGTACAAATGAGGACTTTTAGTTCAAGAAATTACAAAAAAAAGAAACCGACCGTTGTTGACGTATAAACTTTAAGCATTTGCAGCTCCTTAGTAGGAAGTCTTCATCATAAATAATTACTTAATCATATTTTATAGGAAGAAAGACGTTTAATTATTGCTTGTGTAAGTTTAATTTAGGCATATATATTTATTCGTAAATGATAGGGATGAAAAAATTCTAAACCTGCTAAATAAAATATAATTGAATGTTTCGCCTCTGAACAAATACCATAATTTTATCAGAGCATTTTAAAGCAAATTCTCTTTAATTTGAAATGTTTTTTCGTATACACGTGCATATAAGCTGTTACAACCCAAAGTTTGATATCTTAACAATATTTGGGGGTATTTAGGTCACAAATCTTATTTAATCGGCTCTATAGATCATTGGAAGCACGTATATCACCTATGATATTAAAATTTTTAACAACATATTATGGCCTTTAGAAAAATTAAATAGCTAATTGAATTGAATTGTAAAAAGAAATTAGAATTAGAAGTAAAAAAACTTGTCGTTTTTATTAAATGCGCAATTAGAATACTCTTGAAAAGATGCTCTTAATCAAAGAATGACTTTTGATGATATTCGTGTTTGGAGAGGTAACTGAAACAGCAGACAGAAACATACTGGGAAGTATAGGACTTAAGAATGGAGATATTTAGAAAAAATTTTTTATCCAAAGTACATTGTTTAGTTAAATAATGTATTTTATTTAATGCAATGAAGTTATAAAAATCAGTGCGAAGCCAATCCGATCTTTTATACGACCCCAAAACAAACTTTCAGCAAATTAATTCCATTTTTTGTTCTTACATTGATTGAACAGTAAAGGTTTTGCAATATACGAGTGAAAGACAGTCTTGTTTTTGCTACTGATAACGATGCAGATGGCGTGATTGCCTGACCTGAATAAAATAGTCTTTTTTAATTTCTTCCTAAAAAATTGCAGCTCATTGAGTATTGCGAAAATTGATCTTTGTGCCTTTGTGATACAACTAAAATCAAAATATCGATGATATTTTTTGCTTTCGTATAGGAATTTAAAAATATATATTGCATCATGCAATATGTTGTGGCGTACGTCGCTTTGTCTTCTGTGCGAAGGACAGAGTTAACAGATTAATTATAATCTTCTAAATAAAAAAGGACCATTATTAACTCGGTTTAAGAAGTAACTGGAGCTTGAGCCTTGAGGCCGTGTTTTAAATTAATATAATATTAGTCGTATAGGACATGGGGGTACCAGCGCAAAAAAGGAACTGTTTGGAACCTGTTTTCAAAGGGGGGTAAAAAACTCGAGTTTACAATCTATCGTTTAAAAATTTGGAATCTATATGTTATTGAAATATATAGGTGCGTTTAGATTTTACAAGTAGTCTTTACAAATAAATGTTAACATAGCATCATTTCGGAGGAAACTCAGCAGCGCAGAGCACAAAGTGCTCGAGCAGGGGAATGGAGTTTCCGAGAATTCTCGGACGACGGTGGGGTAAATTTTCACGAAGTGAAAATTTGGAGTCCGAAGTGGCATTCTTCGAATTCTTCGAATTCGAAGAATAACAGACATTTAACATATGCTCTTTACAAAATTTGCAATATATATGTTTTTTTAAATTTGTCTGTCAAGCGCGTGTCTTAGTGCATGTTTTTAACAATGGTTGTTTAATGTAACCAGCACATGTAAGTCGGCGTGATAAAATATGTGTTATATATATATATATGCCAAAGCGTAAAGAGCCTGAAACAATTGATGATATAATTAATGAGATTGATTCCACAAATGATATTATCAAAGACGTGGTATGTGATGAAAATATACAAGATAAACCGCAAGAAAGTTTTAATAGAAGAGATCAACTACTTAAACTAGCTGAAGATGGTGATTTAGACAAGAAAAGAAACAGTCGGCAGTTCCTTTTTTGCGCTGGTACCCCCATGTCCTATACCACTAATATTGGATACGTTATTTTGAATGCCCTTGTTTAACATGAACGTAAACGATATAATTTGATCCAGTTGAGTAGTAATGATGTATTAATAAATATCCATTTATGATGCTTAAAACACGGTGCAGTCCTGTAACTAGTCGATAAATAACCAGTAAATAGTCGAAACAAGGTGCTATCCAGTAACTGCTATAGTGACGAGAAACTCTCGTCCATACGTAGTCTTAAAGAGAATTGACTCGTCTCCAATCCCTGTGGGCTTGGTAGATCAGGTAGAGCGGCGGACTAGTACCCGATTGTGCATGTTCAAATCTCGTCCAAGTCACATGCTTTTCATGTGCATATAAAAACCGTGTTAGGATTTATATTATGTATAATGCTCAATAAAACGACAGAAAAACTTTGTCCTGTATGCACCGAATGATGTAGAGACATAAATAACATTACTGAAAATCCTTAGCGACCTAGTTATATTAACCTGGGTGAATTGAAATGCAACGTTTCCGGTGGAGCGTAAAGGTTCCACCGGCTCCACCGGCTCCAGGACCCCCCTTCTCTATACTACTGACGGGCGGACTTAACGCAAAACTATACGTCAAAATCAATTGATCGAGACGTGTTAACAACTTTAATTCGTCTGTCAAGACGAATTAGACACCATAGTAGTCTGGACGGTTAATTCGCCTCGTGTCTGTCTTTGTCCTTCCGACGATCTAAGAGACCTAAAAACGGCCAATAATATACTTATAACTAGCGTCACTAAGGACTGAATACCTTCACCGCACGCTAACTGTCAAGAACTACGGCAAGAAAACTTTTGTCTCTGATATAAAAAAGCAACAGCGGTACGTTTATGTTTTTATCACTTTCGGCTCTTGCTTAGATACAAATAGAAATACATATTTATAGCTTAACTATTTGTTGATTAAATAATAAAAACAGAAAATGTCCCTCTGGCTGACTTTGTGTCGAACAATATGTTAATTGTTCACTTGCTTTTGTATATAGCTTCGAGGCACAAGTTAAATGCTGCTCTTTCAAACTTTAAATATACGTACAAGTATAGTTTCTCATCTCTTATTGCGATATATATATCTTGTTAAAGATAGTTATTTTTTTTTTGAATTCTACAAGATAGAGAAGCATAAAACTTTCTTTGAATATTACAAGTAAATAGTAATGCTGCTTTAAAAAAAAACGTTTCATAGCTTGTGAAAGTGTATACATTCAAATTTTTCTGCTTGAAATTGAAAATTTCCTTTCTACGACGCAGTTAATTTCCACTGTGTTAAAGTTTTGATTAAGCCTGGAGTTTTTAACAGCGATATTTGGTACTTAGACCAACTGTATGTATACTCATTTGTCGCTTCATGTTTTATTGTAACGATTTAATGAAACGTGAGCATTTCTTTTGACTTTTGACTGTATTCAAAGTTCGTAAAAAATGACACAACTGAATTTTTGGTAATAACACGTTCCATTCAATTGATCGAGAAAAATATCTTGACCTGTTTCTTTCTTTATTAAACATAAAAATTCCTCTAGCTAACATGCTGCATGTTTGATTTAATTCTTTCAAATATATTTCTCTAATTTCCATAATGGGTTAGATGATGAGCGTTAATAGGTAACCGACTGCACGCACAGTTTTTCCTCATCATAAAAGGAAACCTGTCTTCAGAAAATTGCTCGATCAGATAATATTTTGTGCAGCTTGTTTAATGTTTGTTTTCTATAAGTTCTTTTGAAGAAAATTTTCTCTTTATAAGTAAAAATCGGCTTCAGTGAAATTTCGTATGAAAAAAATTTCCTTTTCTATTGAGCATGTTGTTTTAAGTCTCAAGCCCATATTTAATCGTTGTTATGCGTTTCTAGCATTTCGTTTTAGGCCATCTTGACCATGACCATCAAGATTATGACCATCATGACCATGACTATAAAGACCATGAATATCATGACCATTACCATTATGACCATGACCATCATGACCATGACAATCATGACCATGACCATCATGACCATGACAATCATGACCGTGACATTCATGACCATGACCATCAAGACCATGACTATCACTACCATGACTATTATGACCATGACCATCATGACCATGACCACCATGACCATGACTATCATGACCATGACTATGATTAATAAATGTTTGCCTCATTATGCTTCAATCAAATTTTATAAATGCACAAAATATTTTATACAGTTGATTGAAATATGGTTAAGTTTAACATTATGTTTTTAATTGAGCTGTTTATACTATCTTTCAGTGACTAATAAATTACATCTGAAATGAAGCGACTTGATATTTTTGTATTTTCCCTTAAAGGCAGCAAACTAAAGTTTCCAATTAACTTTTATTGCTAAACGAACTGCAAGTTTTAAAATATAAGCATATAGTTGAAAACATGATGAGTTCAAAGAAATAAACATGTTGCTACAAAACAAAGAAAATGGCGAGGATTAATTCTTATCACGTGTAAACTACGTGCAATCAATGTGCAAATATAGTTTATTGCGTTTTTTGTGCCCATGCATTTAACTTTACACATTTTAGACTTATAAAGGTGCGTTGCTTAGTGTATTACAAGACTCTGTAAAGGTCACGTGGCTTTTAAGTACTCTTATACTGCACCTGTAAACTTAAGCAATACACATAAATTGCTGATTGATTGAGCGCAGGTGTTAATGCATTTATATTGTTTTCAAGATTACTAGCAAGGATTAATATTATGTAAAAAAGAGACAAGCCTTTAAACGCTGAACATTGCATAAGTGATCAGCATTATATATATATATATACAAAGTGTATAACAATGTGCCCTCCCGACAAAAAGAGTATAAAAGGAGTAGCATTTTTTAACTAACCATTATTTTCTACCTAAGACGGGTAATTGTATTCGTAAAATTGTAAGAGCTTCTGTCCGTCACAATTCTCGACTTGAAACCATTCTCTCGAGATTTATCATAAAATGTTGCTCGCCCACGTCAGCTGGTGCCAA